GTCTTCAAGCTGCCACGGTTGAGAAACACTGCCCTAGATCATTGCCTTTGCCTTTAAAAACCAAGCGTTACTTGATATCAGAGTTGAGAAAGGAGTCAACCAATCACACACTAACATTAACTGGATTTAAACTCTCGTAGGTTGACCTTTGCCCTGCCTGTATTCCAGTCGTTTGTTTGTTTATGCGATTAATATGGCTGCCCAGCTCCTGAACTGGAATTCTGGGTGATTAACACAGGATTTACACACTAAGGAAAGCAAAGAGTAACCATAACAAACTTCAAAAACACAACAGAAAACCACACAAACTGAGGCCAAAACACCATATGTTCAACATCCCAAACCATAGCAGATGGGCTCTTCCAACACCATGGCCCAATGCCATTTTAATATTGTTTTACATTTTAAACAAAAATAGTTATAAAGCCATTCCAAAGCCCTTAGAACCTGTAGGAAGAAACAATTCGGGTAGACAAAATCTTGAGGTGGCATAGCACGGAAGCAGGATAATGCCTTTCTTCTAATATTAAAAAATTACTAAATAAAACATACTAATTACAACAGTTTGGCCATCATGTAAACCTATGCAGAGATAATCTATATGCAGGACTGCTTGCAAAAGAAAATGATACTTTAGTTCAATATAAATAAATCTCCAATACTTGTCTACTATACATGCTGACATGCTCACCCCACCCCCACAGATAACACACTTTAATTATTGAAAATGTGGTTTCTAGCCCAGGTGATTTTGTACTCAAGCTGCCCACATGCCAGCCTACCAGCAACATTAAAAAAAAAATCAAGTATTTTAGGTAGAGAAACTTGTCTGTTAGCCAATAAGAGGACAGAGTCACATGATAAAGAATGAGCTATGCAGGGTTGCCAGATACATGAGTGTCTTCTTTAAAACACTGACAGATAAAGCAGACATTGCTGCATCCTTCTTGATGCTGCATTAGCTTCTTTGCCCACATTGTAACAGGAGAGCTGTAGTCTTCATTAACCATGAACTAGAGTTAATAAACCCTGCCACATAAAAAGAACACTTCTGGCAGCTGGCTCTCGGCTGAGGATTGCCATATTTTATGCATAGAGGTTCTGTGCTTTTAAAAGAAACATGGCAGACCAACATGGAAAAGATACAGCTTTCTTCAACATTGCATTTCCATGCTTAGAAAAAGGCTCATCTTTCTCTATCAAGGCACAGAACCTCTGACCACAAGAAAACTGTATTTCATAACTCCTGGTGAGACAGTGATCCAGAATGTGCTCTTTTATTGCTTGGTGAGTTTTCATCTATTTTCTATCATCTCCCTAACAGAAACAAAGCATGCATACTTGAGACATCATAAAAGCAAACTACAGGACGAGAAGTCTAGAAGCTAATAACTATATTAATGAGACCATCAACATGGTGGTCCCTCCTAGATTTATTCCTGCTATAGCAGTAGGCTACAAAAATAAAGGCTACAGTAATTTTGACGAAACAAATAAACCTTGCTTTCAAATTTTTATTAGAATACATGGTCAGATGAATGTTTAAAAAACCAAAATATTCATTCCATAACCATTTCTCTTTAACCTACTGAAGGACAACATTGACCTTTTTCATCAGTGAAAGTCAATGAGTGGTACTGATGGTTCATTTTTTATCTGATTATTGCACAATATTAAATTAAGTGGTTACATACCAGATTTTAACTGGAGCTCTCCTAAGCAACCATAAGCATCCATGAGCTTCTCATATTGCCCTTTAATTTCTTCTTTTTCTTCAAGTGCTGGGGAAATCACACAGTAAAAGTCATCAATTCTTGTTCCACTCTATGGCAATGTAATAAGGCAACCAAAATCAGGGTGTCTATTAGGGCTGTGCAAATTAATAGGAGGGATGCTTTGACTTCAACATTATGCAAGTGAAACACTCTTTGCTTGGTTGACAGTTCTGAATTTGCTCATATCAGTGCAGATGACTTAGGAAAACACCACATTGGTCATGCTCAATCTTCAGCATTTAAAGGAGTGGCATTTAGCTTGTGATGTTAACACAGTAAAACCTCTTCCAAATGATTCCTAGAGCCCTGATGAAGCCGTTGGTTGGTTGGTTGGTTGGTTATTTGCTTGCTTGCTTGCCTGCCTGTGAGTTGATTTTAACTCCTTGGGACTGCCTGGACAAGTCCCTGCAGTTTTCTTAGCAACATTTTCAGAAGTGGCTTGCCACTGTCTTCTTCCTAGGGCTGAGAGAGTGACTGGCCCAAATTCACCCAACTGGTTTCAGGCCTAAGGCTGGAGTAGAACTCCTAAGTCTCCTGGTTTCTACCTGGTCCTTTAATTATTACACCAACGTGGCTCTCATTTATTTATTACAGCTACTTATATGCCACTCAATTCCCCAAAGGCTCTAAGCATCTTACAAATAATTTAGAAATAAAATAAAAAGAACAACAAGGAAAACATGCAAAACAGACAGCAATTAACCCTCCTTAATACAGCACACTAGCCAAAATGTATTAACCATGACTTGGTGACTAAGCCACTTGCTAACTAAACTGCACTCACACAAATAAATCATATTATGTCTTAGTACAATGTGTAGACCCAGGCTTAAAATACCCAGTACCCAAGTTATTTTTATATAGGTAAGTATGGCTAACATTTGGGAATTCAAAGAACACAGAGAAATTGTGGACAGAGATAAAAGCATGGAATTTAGTTGGAGAATGAAAAGAGTATACAGAATTTAATTGCTGACCTGAACTTACCCATTCTCCAATCAAGGCACTTCCAAAGATAACAAAATAAACACTACATTTCCAATTACCAAGAAGTATAATTCTATCACTTTTGCAACAAACAAAAATAATGGTTTTCTGCCCCAGTACAGCTACTAGTTGATATAGCAAATATAGAGATGTCTATTTTTTCACTTATTCCTTTGGTTGTGTTGGGCAATAGAGTTATTTTGCAAACTTTAACTGAATAGTCTTATTCTTTCTGTGCTTGGGATTTTATTGTTTACAATATTTATTTCATACACACATGGACAAGAGCTTTAATGCATAAGATAAAACAGATTTTTAATCCAAATCACAATAAACATATTAACCATCATTTGGAGATAGTACAAGATTCATTATTATCTGGATTCAGTATTCCCAGGAATGGAATTCCACTATTAGAAATGCTGAATGTTAATGGCAAATAGAAGAATCAGAGAGACATGCTAGAGAGGCAATAATTGCATTAAAGGAAACAATAAATTAAAGGTAATGACTCCCTTGAATTAAACTCAACTCTTGGAGACTACATGGACATGCCCATGCTGGTTTCTCGCCAACAAAATGGAATTAGTTTGTCACAGGCTTTTTCAGGGATGTTTTTCTAACTTCCCAGTTTATTTTTATGGCCCTTGGATTTCCTGATAGTCTCCCATCCAAGTACCAACTAGATTAACTGTTTTACTTGTTAAGAGATCAATTAAGGTTGACTAACTTCTGCCAGTTGCTTAATTATTTTAAATGATAACCAGGGTCACTAGGAAGATATACTGGCTACAGATTTAATAAGGAGCTAATGCTAGTGAACCCTTATTTTAAAGGGGGGGCTGTTATTCACAAAAGTCCATTATATACAAAAGTAGGACATTGTGATTTATGTCATTTGTGGAATGACACAAATGATGTCATTAGCATGATGATCTAATGCAGATAACATCACATCATTTCTGTAATTACACTTTACACAAATGATATAAATTGTGGTGGAAATTTGTTGTTGCATGCAAAGTTCATTGTATTGTGGTCCAGTAAATTGAGCTTTCACTGTAATGCATTTAAGCTAGTTTTTAAAAATTCTGCAAAGCATACTGAGTAGCAGGGAATTTTCTGTGAACTAGGACTAATTTCACTAATATGAAACTAAAAGAATAAATTGTTTAGCTCTGTGTAAGGTTTCACATCTGTGAAAGCGCACTCAACAGACATGCACTGGTATCACACAGTCAAGATATCTGATTCTTTATTAGGCAAAGGAATTACTATAGCAACGGGCCACAGTGGAACCTAACACATAAAGTGAACGTGACATTCAGAAATGTAAACAACATTTAAGAATGTAAGCAATTTTCAAGCAACCATTTCACAACTCAGGAAGAAAAGGGACTGAAAGTACAAAGTTCATTCTCCTAGTCTGTATCAGCAAACAGAAATATATTTAAAACAACATGTCACTGGTTGCAGAAAGAAAAGTACTTATGCTAGCCAAAAGAGAAACATCAAGGTTTAAATAATTGAAGATTAAATGCAAACTGTACTTCAAAGACAGCAAAATCCATATGATTACAGTTAATGGGCAAAACCTTGATGCTCATGAAGTTATAATAACAGTTCTCAAACTGTAACCTTCAGAGGTATTAAATTACCATCAGTAGTAAGGGAAAAGGGGTAATTCAGAAGACATTACTGACGTGAGTTGTAATGCTACCTGGCATTCTCAAGAACATCTGCTTCCCAGGCAGGGAATCCACACCACTAGGTCTGAAGCAGGATTTTCCTGAAGAGAGACACTTCCTTTAGCATATAGCTAAAGGACAGATCTCGCACAAGAATTTTTAATCTTTCAAAAACTGCAGCTAGTTCTCCAAGAGAAGGGAGAAGCAAGAAGCTAAATATTGGGGCTTGGTGAGCCTGAATCTCTGAAAAAAATATTGCAATTTTACAAATTTTCTGGAAATGAGTAAGAGGCCTTGGCTTCAGGCATCAGCTCGTCCTAGGAAATAAATAACAAGCGTAGGTAGAAATATGGCATAAGAAGGGTTTTTTTTAAAAATGTTTGTCATAATTTCTTGACACTTTGGAGCACAGTACCATTGAAGGTGTATGTTCCCGTTTATCCAGTAAGTAAAACAGACATCTGTATGCACTAAATTCATTCTATGAGAATCTTTCCACATAGTTTTTTGCTTACTTAAGAATGGGGGATGGGAGTCAAGATGGTGATCACAGCAACAAGATTGAAGTCCTACCCCTTGTACATGCATCCACATCAGGGAGCCGTGCCTGCCCTGCCCCTCTGTATGTACCAAGGGAGTGGGGTTTTGAACTTGCTGCCATCTTTACTTTTCTGACATAGAAGCACACCTCCCTCCCCACCCCCCATGATGCTACTGACCAAGACGGGAGTGTAATTGTTCAAGGATTCCAGGGTGAAGCAGGATGGATTCAGGAAAGAGAAGAGAAGGACAAAGGAAAAAAGTATTTTAAGAACTATCTTGAATCCCAGTTTGCTGGGGAACACATGCATGAGACACTAAAGCATTCAGTGATGGGCATCTAGGTAGCTTTTGTGGGTGCTAGGGGCTGGAATGAATAGATTTTCCGTCTAACATGGCTTTTCTTATGTTCTCAATTTCTTATCAATTTTGAAAATATACATAAATAATATATGCTTTGCTGATAAAATAAATAGATCCTCAAGATCTTATTTATGGATATTAGTGTAAAAATTACACATGCCAAGATCTTTATATGACATTTTGATTATAGCAATCTGCAGTTAATGTATCATGTAAGATCCTGACATTTTAATTATTTGCTTTCGTCACAGGCAACACATACAAAAATCTGGGGATTTTGCTTTGCATGGTGGCTTGACTTTCTGTTTTGGCTTGTAGGCAAAGCTGTAAAGTGAGCGAGGACAGAATTGTCTAGCACCTGGCTGTAAGTGGACCACTTGGAGTTTTAGTTAATAAATCACTGCTTCTGTTTTATTGACCTCATTTTCAGCAATCAGCTGAATTAAAGAGGATGGCATGAAGTGGTGATAATGAGGTCTTGAGAAAGAGCATCTACCTCTCATATTGGCTGTAGGGAAGGTAATGCAACTGAATTTCTGAAGACAAGCTGCCACTTATATTAAATTCACACCTGTCTATCCTTATCTTTTTATCAATTGTGAGGCAACTTTTGTAATCAATAAAATATATGACAGCAAGGGAGAACTCACCCTATTCATTAAGAACTTTGGATGCCTCAAAGCTACTGATATTGTCTGTCCTGAAGCACTAGTTATTTAATTTTCTAATGATAACTGTTTACAGTATTCCCATGAAGAAGCACATGTGGGACTTCCTGAACTGGCGCTAACCTATCTATGTACCATTGCTGAAAGTGAAGGGAGAAAGAAATATGACCTTGTTCATCCTTTGAAAAGTCTTAAGCCAGTTATCCTGTAATAAGATGTGATTGTGATCATGGCCTAGAGGGTTTGAAAAAGGGACTCAGACATTGGCCAGCAACTGTTGGCCAAAAATATGCCTGACAGTACCTCCCAGATCAGTGGCAATGGAACCCAGATCAGCCACCAGAGGCTGATAATGGTGGAAATTATACTTTTATATCCTACTGCACAGTGAAAGCAAAGTGAAAACGATGGTTAAATATAAAGAAGACCAAACTCATGAAAACAGGTACAGCAACCAGCCTTAGAATTAATAGTGAAGACACGGAAGGGGTGGATAGCTTTTGCCTTTTAGAATTGGCTATCAAAAGTATAGGAACCAGCGGTCAACAAATATTCCACAATTAATTTATAAGGAGAAAGAAATGTGCAACAGACTAGCACATGGTAAAGAAACAACAAAGGCCTTGCAAAAGAAAGTCAAATGCACATCTATATCTACAAAGTTTAGATACAAGCAGTGCAACACTCTATGGATGCGAAAGTTGGACTTTGAAGAAGCAAGATAGACTACTGATACTTTTGAAATTTGGCGTTGGGGAGGATTTTTTAGAATAACATGGACAGCCAAGAAAACAAACAAACAAAAACAAAAAATGGATCACAGAACAAATCAATCCAGAGTTCTCATTTAAGGCACAAATGACCAGGCTCAAACTATCTTATTCTGCACACATTGTGCAAAGGCCCAGCTCCCTTGAGAAGTCCATAATGCTGGGAAAAGTGGAAGGAAAGAGAAGAAGAGGACGACCAGCAGCAAGGTGGGTGAGCTATATTACAGAGCAAGGAATGCACCACTTAGAGATGGAAAAGGCCAGGGTGAGCAGGGCATGCTGGAGAAAGTCCATCTATGCGGTCACTAAGAGTAGGCACTGATTTGACTAATCAATCAATCAACCAAGTCCTTCTGCTATGGTTGGCTGTCTTGGAAACCGGAAGGCAGACAGAATGAACCATTGGTCTTCCAGACCTCGCCTCTTTCCTTCAAAGCTGGCATGCCAGGCAAAGGAACTGCAGGGCTGTTGCGTCCAGAGTAGGATGCGGGCACACCTCTCCCTCTCCCCCCACCGCCCCCCTTGGGGCGAGGCACTTACTGAGGGTGGCCGTCGTGCCGGCTTCCAGCAGCAGGCAGTCCTGGCGGCCGCGCGCCTCCAGCAGAGCGCTCGGAGCGGGGTCCTGCTTCCACAGCAGCCTCAGCCCTTTGCTCAGAGCCATGGAGGCTTTTGCCCCTGAAGTGGAAGGAGAAAAAGCAAAGTAGCCCCCTCACACAGCAGAGGCGAATTGCCCTAGAGCAGCTGCCCCACTTTCCGTTTCCCTCCCCCGCTCCAAAAAAATCACGCTCCCCTAACAAAAAGCAAGTTTCCCGAAAGAGCCGGCGCGGAGAGGCATGCTTCCCCCTCCCCACCGCCGCCTCAGCGGCTAGAAGTGGGCTGCAAAGAAAAAAGGGCCCTCGCCTCTCAGCTTGATCAAAAAAAAAAAAAAAAACGTTAGGAAGAGAAAGAGACGGGCAATAACCCCAAACAAAAGAAAGGCTTGCCGAGGCTCTCCTCTTCTGCCCCCCTCCCCGTGGGGACCGAAGCGCCCTTCGTTGCCACGGGAGCCCTTTCCGAGGCCAAATTCCAGCTGATCGCCCCGCTCGTAGACGCCCGGCTGGCTCCTCGTCCCCAGCTCGGCCGGGAGGGACGGAGGAGGAAAGGAATGGATGTTCCTCCGGCGGAAAGACCGGCGGGAGGGGGAATTGGAAAGGCTTCCCCCCTCGTGCAAGTTCTTGCACAATTTCCGGACTTTCTGGTTCCTTATAAGAAAACCTCTCACTCTCTCCCGCAACTGGCCAGGGCGGGGACCTCGCCTTTCTCTCCCTTTTTCCTGTAGAAACTTTCTGGATGACTTCAAGTTCTAGTCACCGCCTCTCTCGCCTCCTCGGGGGACAGGTGAGCGCCCTCCCTCAGGCAGCGGCGAGGTTAAGCTCTTCTGGCTCCCCCCAGAGGAGAGGGAGTGGCGCTTCTCGCGGGGCTCCGGACGCGGAGGCTGGCAAGAGGTGGGGGGCGAGAAAGAGGGGACCGGAGGCAGCCGCTGGGTCGGCCGTCGGGCGGAATGTTTTCTTTCCCCCCTCGCGTTCTTGTTCGCGTTTTTGCTTTGGCTTTTGGAACCAACTGTAGAATTTGGCATGGATGTGGCTGTTTTATATGTAGATGTTCCTGGTGGAGAAGTTCACTACACGCTCTCGACTAGAAAGACTGTAAATTTGGATGGAAAGAGCTGCACAGAAACTGCAGCCTTTCCCCGGAAACACGTGGCATGTTTCAAATGTTAACAAGATTGAACAGGAAGAATATTTTACCACTACATCCAAAAAGTTCCTCTGAAATAGCTATTAGAGATAAGGATAATTAACTGTGCTTCTTTCTCTCCTGTACACTTGTGCATTAAAGAAGCATCATTTCCAAATGATACTGGGTGCAGTGTTATTTTGTCCAGGTTTACAATCAAATTGGATTTTTACATTTCCTTTGCACAGTTCTGATGCTTGTATCTTGTTTATAGAGATACAGCAAAAGATGCAGGCTAGTATTTGCCACTGATGCAGGATAAAAAGTGCCTTCAGTTAAGGTCATTTCACATCATGCTTTTGCAGTTGTTGGATGACTGGTGGTGTCCCAATCATTAGAACTGATCAACTGATGTGCCTTCAGTGAGAAATAATGTTGAGGGTTTTTTCCCCCCCTTAGTGAGTATTTTAATTATAGGAAGGAAGCAGAGATCAGAGAGTTCTGTGACAAGAGAATGGAAAAAGAAAATAAAGAAGTTGTCCCTCTGAATCTGGAGACTTTGGTATAGTGGTTAAGGCACCAGGCTAGAAATCAGAAAACTGTGAGTTCTAGGCACAAAGCCAGTTGGGTGACCTTGGGCAAGTCACTCTCTCTCAGCCCTAGGAAGGAGGCAATGGCAAACTGCAGGCACTAGTCCAGGCCTAGTTGCCAGGAATCAACAAGGACTCAAAGGCACCAAAAAAAAAAAAAAAAATCAAGGTAGCGTCCAGTTCAAGGTCAGCACATAGCCATCATTCTATGATCTTGAAAAGTTAAGCAGAATTAGATCTGTGGAGTCCTTGGGGTTCTCTGAGCTTGGCTCTTTTCTTGCAAACGTTTCATTACC